TCCTTGAGGTGACGTTATCTGTGTAGACCAGCACCATCTAATAGAAATTTTGCTAATGATCAAATGTTCTCTCTTCGTACTGTCCAATCTGGTGGACATTAGACCACTGTGCACTGGACATGTGGCTAGTGAGACTAAGGAAATGAATTTTAAACTTTAATTTTAATGAGTTTAAGTTTAAATGATCATAAGTGAATAGTGCCCATCATATTGAACAGTGTATGCAGCTTTCATCCCCCCATTCTCACATGCTTCCAACAGCAATTTCCATCCAAGGGGCCTGGAACTTTTTTCACCAACAACAATTAGTAGTCGATCATTTTTCTTCACTGTCTCAATGTCCTTAGCACCTGGAATCATGCATTCTGATAGGTGGCTTTTCAACAAGTGCTTATGTTGGAATCAGACAGTTCTTTTCAATCTTTTAAGAAAAAAGCTGCCTCCCACACTTGAAAAAGATCTTTGACTGACGTATGTCTGGGGCAGCACATTTCCCTGGGGCCCCCTTTTGCATCCGGACTGCTCTTTGTTTCTGTCTTTCCAACATTCACCAGTAGTAACAGCTGTATTTGTTGAAGAGCTGCTATGTTACAAGAAAGGAGAACAGTCCCTGTATGTAAATTTTCTAATTTCCATAACAACCCTATAAATTAGATATCATATCTCCAATCTGGGGGGAGAAAATCAGAGATTAAGTAACTTAACCAAACTCTAGCAACTGGCAATTGGCAAAATCAGGGCTTTCATGTACTGTATATTCTAATTCTCTCATCCTACGTGAGCTGGAGATTCTTAATTTCGCCACTGACTAGCTGCCTGGCCTCGGGACGTCATTTATTCTCCCTGACCTTCAGTTTCCAAACCTGGAAAATGAGGAATTAACAACGGATACCTCCAGGGCAGATGGGGAGTTAGCCTGAGGCTTTATGAGAGCCCTCCAGGTGCACAGGGGTGCAGGGCTTGCCTCCAGGGCTGTCTTCAATTCCTTCCCTATTCCTACTGGCCTGTGAACTTATTTTTTCCTTGCTTTTTTTTTTATTGTTATTATTGGTAAAAATGCTCAGCTGAACAGAATCTCATCCAACAGATATTTAGTGAGTCTCTGCTGTGATCAGGAACCATGCTGAGTGTTGAACACAATCATCGGCTGAATTCAAATTCTAGAAACCTGAGTATATCCTTTTCTAGCTAACATTTGTTGAGAGTTCACTATAGTTCAGCCCTTCTAAATGCTTTACATATATAACTCACACACTCCTCATAATAACACTTTGTTAGCAGTGACTGTTAGGATTCCCCACCACATAGTTGAGGAAACTGAGGCACAGAGAGGCCGAGCTACTTGCCAGATGTGACACAACTTATAAATGATGGAGCTGGAACTCTGATCCAGTCAAGCTGGCTGCAAAGCCCCCACTCCTAACCGTAAGGCTCTAAGGGCCCCCCATCCTTGTGTTTGCAGGTTAATAGGAGGAAGTCATCCTGGAACCAGGGCAGAAAGGAGCACTTTCAAGAGGTCCTCAAACAACTCCTTGAGTGTGGGACCCAGGAAATTTAACAAAAATCCTCTACCCCTGGACAAGCAGAGCAGGACTGATTCCATTTTGTGCTACACCTGCCACCTCCCCTATGACCCCCACATGACGTGCTTATGGCTTGAGGCGCTGCCCCATCCTAGTCAAGCCGCTGGGCACACGCTCATCGGAAATCGGCTCCTAACAATGTAACCCTGCTTTGTGCCCGCCAAAACTGTGCGCCGATTCTGACCGCAGTACTAGGCCAGCTCAAGTGGATACTAGAGGCTAAGGTGTCATTCAATCGGCCACCTGCGTGTGGACCGACATGACTGTGCAACTTTCTGCGTATCCCATGGGCCAGTGGCCCCTAGAAAGCTGCTTCGCCTCTTAGTCTCGGGGCCCAAGTCTCTGCTCCGCTGTGTCGGGTGCACTTGGACCCAAGCCCGAGCTTGTAAATCAACCCTCGTGTGTTTGCATCGGTGTCGGCTCCTCGGTGCTTTCTCGGATTCGCAATCTTGGGCACAACCTTGAGCACTGCCTGCAAACAAAACATGCTGTAGGCTGGATGGGGCTACAAAGATGTGTAAGAGTTTTATTCTCCACCCCCAGGAAACTAGATTGTAAGTCTAACAAAGAGCATGATTAAAAAGAACATGCTTACTTGTAAAGCAAGAAAGGTGTGGTAAGTGCTAAATTGCTGACAGTCCTATGAACTTCACAGAGAAATCAGTTCTGGTTTGGTTATTCAGAAACATTTGTGATGGAGAGCGTGTCACCTGTGCCTTAAAAGAAGGATGAGATTTCAGTAGATGGAGAAGAGGCAAAGAAGAGAACTTTCCCAGTAGACCAAAAGACAGGAGTCATGGGATGCAGGTGAGACACAAGGAGGCTTTTCTCTGACAGTCAGCAGGGGCTCCTCTTGCTGGGACCTGCAGCATCTGTGGGAATAAGTGACTTAGACAAAGGGTGGGTTGTAAAGAGGCAAAGGCCATGGGCAGAACTGTGAGGACTGGCCACCCTCATGGGGCAAGAGGAGCAGAGGGGCCACCCCCCTGGCAGGTAGAGGAGAGGAGGAGCAGGAGGTCAGGTGTCTCGGAAGTTGTGGGAGGAAGAGAGTGGGAAATAGCCAGGGATCAAGAGTGCAAACGACATAGAGACACCAAGAAAAAAAAAAAAAAACGTTTTTGGCTTCAGTATCTAGGAGATGATGGGTTGTTCTTCAAGGGGGCTGTTCCAAGGAAACAGCAAAATGGGCCTGGACTGGTGAGTACTCAGTGAAGGTGGGAGGGCCAGGGGCTAGCCATGGAGAGGGAGCTGCTAGCATCATCCCCATGGAAACAGAGGCAGTGGCCCACCCTTTAGCCAGGAGGTGCAGAGAGGAAGGGTGGTAGTTGAAAATATGCAAAAAGGCATCAAAGTAATGGCTCAAGGAGACTCAAACAGGACACCCCACTAAAGATAGCCATGGCAAAAAGCGAACTAGCCTGGTGTGCAGCAAGCCTTTGAGGGCAGGCAGGCTTGAAAATCTTAGTAAAGTTTGAGCAAAGGGTGTAACTGGTTCTGTCCCCTCTCTTGTCTCAAGAATCCAGGCGATTGCTCACTTTCTGAGATTTTTCAGGGGCGACCTGTGGGATGGCAAATGCCCAAGGGCTCCGCCCAAATGTGAAGGCCCCACTCCTAGGGCCAGGGGCACCTGAGGTAACTGGGATCCAGCTCCAGCCTCCTCCTTGGGCAGGCTGTGCCTGTGAGTCAAGACCCCAGCTCGGCACAGGGAGCCAGTGGGATATCAGACCGGCACCTGGCGACAACCTGTCTCTCCAAATCTGCTGGTCTTTTCTTCCTCTTCCGGGAGGTGCGGAGGCGTCCATTCCAGTGTGCTTTAGACATCAGTCTCTGCGCTGGGTTCCCTACCTAGCTTTCAGGAGGCCCTGCCATCCCCAGCTCTCAGGCTCTACCCTGGGATGTAGGGGAGTGTAGGGAAGGACCACTGTCCCTCCTCCCTTTCGCTCTCCGCTTTCTGAGGGTCTACACCCCGCACCTTGGGTCACTATCCGCCAGTACAATGGGGGGCGTGCCGGTGCTTGTCTTTCGCTTGTGTAGACGCCACACTGATCTGCCCTCTCAGGAGTCTGGGCTCTGCTGGACCAAAGAGGCGGACGCCCAGCTAAGAGTGGGTAGAAGCTACGAGGGGCTTTCCTGGAACCCAGTTTCCAGCCCCCTGCGAGGTCCCGGCGTTCCCCACACCCCTCACTCTTTTCAGCCCAAATTTAGAGGTCTCCAACTTTTAGGTCTTTGTTTAGAGTTCAACAGCGCCGCTCTCTGGCGCCAGGTTGTGAGTGAGCACAGAGAAGAGGCGCAGGGTTTAAAAAAAAAAAAAAAAAAAAAAAGCTTGTCAGTGTTGTGCTTTGGGCCCACGCCCCACATTCTTGCTGAGTGAATACGCGGAAAAGGTCGCGAAAGTGACAGATTCCCATCCCTCCCCGTGCTCTCCCCACCCCGTCGGGCCGCAGAACCACCCGCTGCACTTCGCCCCGCTCGGATCTCCCTGCCCCGCACGCGCGCCTTAGCGGAGGCGAGCAGGGTCCGCTCGGAGCCCTTGGAGCCCGCAGCGCCTCCCGCCGGCTCCGCCGCGCCCCGTCTGGGCTGCGTGATGCACCGGCCCCGTGGGGAGCCGCGCAAAAGCGGAAACACACTAACGCGCTCCCCTCCCGGCACTCGCCGGCCGCTGCTTCTGCAGGGTGAGCGGAGCCTGCAGCCCCGACGGCGGCCTCCGGCCCTCCCCCGAGAGGACGAGGCGTGGCCGGGCGGCTCGCCCTCCGGGACCCGTGGTTCGCCGGTGCGCGGGCGGCGCGGGTGTTGGGCCGGTGCTTCCCTCCGCTCCTCGCGCCGGCTGCACCCTGAGTCCTGGGGGTCCAGCGCGCCCGTCTCCGCCCCGGGCGCCTCGGCTCGGAGGGGTCCGGTTCCCTCCCCGCTGTTGCTTCCTTAGGGAAGTCCGCGCCCTTGGCTCCTCCGCGTCTGCACCGCCCCCGAGCCCAGCGGGTCCCGGGCACCCCCCCCCCCGCAAGCCCTCCTCGCCCGCCTCCCGTCTCCCGCCTGCCCCGGACGTCGGTGGGGACAGCACCTTTGTAAGAAAGCGAAAGAGGACTGAGAGGTTGGGTCGGACCGCGGCCCGAGGGCCTAGAGGCGGGGCGCACGCCGTCCCCGGGGCCCTCGCAGCGCCCGGGCCGCCTTACTCACCCGGGCGAGGCGATCCCGGGCGCGAGGGCGGGCACAGGGCGCGGGAGCACCCGGTAATCCGAGAATGCGGCATCAGCCCTTCCCACCAGGCACTTCCTTCCTTTTCCCGAACGTCCCGCCGGGAGGGCCGCGCGCGTATAAAGCCGGGCCCGGGCCGCCGGCTGTCAGAGGCCGCCTCGCCGGGGCTGCGCGCGGCGGCGGGACGCGTGTGCGCCGGGACCCCCGCGCCCCCCGCGCCCCCCGCGCCCCCGCGCCCCCCGCCCAGGCCGGGCTCTCGCCCCCGCGCGGCGCCCGCGCTCTCCCCGCGCCTGCACGCGGCGTGCCCGGGCAGCATGCTCCGCGTCCTGCTCCTCGGCGTGCTGGCCCCCGCCGGCCTGGGGCTCCCCGCGCCCGCGCAGCCCCAGCCACGCAGCAGCCAGTGCGTGGAGCACGACTGCTTCCAGCTGTTCCGGGGCCCCGCGACCTTCCTCGCCGCCAGCCAGACCTGCGAGGGCCTGGGGGGCCACCTGATGACCGTGCGCTCCTCCGTGGCGGCGGATGTCATTTCCCTGCTACTGAGCGGCGACAGCGGCGACAGCGGCGACAGCGGCGACGGCCCGCGCCTCTGGATCGGCCTGCAGCTCGAGCGCGGCTGCAGCAACCCGGCGCAGGGCGGGCCCTTGCGCGGCTTCCAGTGGGTCACCGGCGACAACCGCACCAGCTACAGCAGGTGGGCGCGGCCCCACGGCGGCCCCGCGGGCCCGCCGTGCGGTCCCCTGTGCGTCGCGGTCTCGGACGCCGCGGCCCCAGCACCCGGCGAGCCCGCCTGGGAGGAGCAGCGGTGCGCGGCGGAGGCCGACGGTTTCCTCTGCGAGTTCCACTTCGCGGCCTCCTGCAGGCCCCTGCTCGTGGACGCCCGCGCCGCGGCGGCCGGCGTGTCGGTCACCTACAGCACCCCGTTCGGGGCCCAGGGCGCGGACTTCCAGGCGCTGCCGGCGGGCAGCTCCGCCGCCGTCGCGCCCTTCGGGGTGCAGCTGGCGTGCGCGGCGCCGCGCGAGGAGGCCGAGGCGCGCTGGGGCCGGGAAGCGCCGGGCGCCTGGGACTGCGGCGTGGAGAACGGCGGCTGCCAGCGCGCGTGCGGCGGAACTGCCGGGGCGCCGCGCTGCCTCTGCCCGGCCGACACCTACCTGCAGGCCGACGGGCGCTCCTGCGCGACGTTTGCGGAGCACTCGTGCCATAAGCTGTGCGAGCACTTCTGCATTCCCAACGCCAGCGTGCCGGGCTCCTACTTGTGCATGTGCGAGACGGGGTACCAGCTGGCTGCCGACCAGCACCGGTGCGAGGACGTGGACGACTGCGTCCAGGTGCCCAGTCTGTGCCCGCAGCTCTGCGTCAACACGCGGGGTGCCTTCGAGTGCCATTGCTACCCCGGCTACGAGCTGGTGGACAACGAGTGCGTGGAGCCCGTGGACCCGTGCTCCGGGAGCAAGTGTGAGTACCAGTGCCAGCCCGTGAGCCAGACCGACTACCGCTGCATCTGCGCCGAGGGCTTCGCACCTATCCCGCACGACCCTCACAGGTGCCAGATGTTCTGCAACCAGACCGCATGCCCAGCGGACTGCGACCCCAACAGCCCAACTTCCTGCCAGTGCCCCGAAGGCTACATCCTGGATGACGGCTTCATGTGCACGGACATCGACGAGTGCGAAAACGGAGAGTGCCCCGAGGCCTGCCGCAACCTCCCAGGCACCTATGAGTGCATCTGCGGGCCTGACTCGCCCTTAGCAGGCCAGGTGGCCACGGACTGTGGCCGCATCATCGGCGACCCTGATGGTGACAGCGACAGCGGCTCTGGGGAGCCCCCAGTCACCCCGACTCCCGGCGTCACCCCCAGCCCCTCACCTGTAGGGCCCGTGCATTCTGGAGTGCTCATTGGCATCTCCATCGCCAGCCTGTCTCTGGTGGTGGCGCTTTTGGCACTCCTGTGCCACCTGCGGAAGAAGCAAGGCGCCCCCAGGGCCGAGCTGGAGTACAAGTGCGGTGCCCCAGCCAAGGAGGTGGTGCTGCAGCACGTGCGGACTGAGCAGATGCCTCAGAAGCTCTGAGAGGCCTCTTCCCTGCCCCTGGCTGTGGCTGGGTCTTTCCCTCCCTCCTATGCCTCTCCCCCTCCCCCAGCCTTGCTCCCTGGCCACCTGCTCAGGAGCACTTTAGCTGGTATTGGAACTGGAGAAGATCCTGCCCCACTTCTTTTGCTGATTCCACACTTGGCTGGGGAGTGGGGGTTGGAAGGAATAAGCTCCCCAGAAACTTCCAGGACATCATCCTCAGACAGCTGGGCAGAGATGGCAATTTGTAACAAAGTCACAGACTACGCAGTGTCCCATGCCCTCCCCCAGAGGCACATGACGGGTGAGCCTCCTTGGCTGGCAAGCTTTGGGTCAGACTTATGATCCTGTGAACTAGTGAGTGTAATCAAGGTGTGGATAATGACCAAGGTATTTATTTTTTAAGTATTTAGGATGGCTGCTTTTCCCTTTGCTTTTTTGCTTTGTTTCCCCTTCTGTATGACTCCAGTCCCCACTTTGTATCCCTCCCTCCCTCCCTCCATCCCTCCCTCCTTTCCTCACTTCCCCCTTCCCTATCTGTATATTTATCTATTTCCACTCTTTGGGGGACAGTTAAGCCCCCTATGGTGGTTTTCCCAGCACTCTCTCGCATTGCTGAAGCCCAGACCCCTTCTTTATTCCTCCCATTTCTCCCCTTGCTGGGACTCAGCCAGCCTGCCTGGAGTTTCCCTCCCTGGCCACAGTCCTTCTGCTCTTCCACGTGTGCCTTTGCAAAACTCCTGTGTGAAACAGAATCCAAAACACTACAATCAGGCTGGTTGGGGATTTATGTGCTCTTGAACCAGATTTGCTAGTTTATCCTGAAATTTCACTTTAATAAGAGTTAAGATGTGAGAGGCATTCATTGAACTAATGTTGCATTATAGAAATTCAACCCAAGGAGCTTTTTATTTTTATTTTTTAAACAATGGGTCTGGGTTTTATTGTCGTTTTCATTTGAACTGAAAGATCCGTATTGTTGTTAAGTTTCTTATGTTTCTTTTTCCCATTATTATAATTGTTGTTATTACTGGCTATCTTGGACAATGTTGAAAATGTTCTCATGATTGCTCTAGATTAAGACAGGGATGAAGCACCTCCCAGGAAATGGTTTAAGAAAGTTCTGAGCTGCACAATTCATGCCAGTTACCATTTTGAGTCTTATTCTTCTTATAATGTGTGCTCCGAAACAAAGCCAGTTCTGCTGGGTTTGGGGGGATTTGGGAACTTGGGGATGGAGCCTGGCACATGCTCAATTCAGGCTTCACCTTGATCAAGCCCTTGAGAATTTCTCCCACTTCTGAGTGACCTTCTAACCCTGGCCACTTAGAACACGGTCCCTGGACAAGAAGTGGGAGCGGCCCCTGGCAGCTGGTTAACATGCAGAAAGTTGGGCTGCATGAAAAATCTATATTTCAACAAGATCTGCAGGGGTCTGCCCAGTCTAGCTTGAGAAGAACTGTTTTGGACAGCTTCCAGCTTTCTGGAATACATTACATATGGATCAGTAGTAAGCAGAAGGCCAAGTCAGGGCCTTTATTCTCAAGAAACTGAGGAAATTTTGATGTATATAGCTTTGCTTTCTGATAGAGGTACACCTTGGGGGGTTGTTGGCTCAATGAAGCTAGGAAGGGATCATGCTTCACTGTATGGGGAAGATGTATCATACAGGTGTATCTTTTATAAAACAAAGGTTTTCCTCTATTTTGTAAACTCAGCACATTTGTACATAGTTATTTATTTATTGGAGACAAACTAGAACACAGGCAAAACTCTTGCTTATGACGTCACATGTAGGAAATAAACAAGTAACAGAGTGCTCTTGGGCTTTTGTCTGTTTACTACGCACTTTCGCCAACCCCCTCATTTATGTCATTAAACAGGGCCCACAAACAATGCAAATTCCAGGAGACACCTTGAAAGGCTGCTCCACACCCCATGGCTAGCTGTATCTGCTCACAGGCACCATCTCTCACTTTCAAAGATCTTTCCAGAGGAGATTATTTTCACTGTAGAAGGACTTCATGTTATGTCTGTATGCACAAATATTTATGTTTTCTTCTGTAACCATAACAACTTCATACATAGGACTTGTGTCTATGTGTTTTGAAACACACTATAGGATTATTTGTTGGGATGAGTTAAAGAAACAGTTCTTCTTGGGGCATCTCTCGAGTCCCAGCTGTGTGTCCTTCCTGTGAATGGTTTGGTTTTATCTGCCCTCTGAGATATCTAAACACGATAGTCACGAGGGGTCTCAGTCTGTGGCTCAAATTCAAACAATCATTTCCACATACCAAGGTCTCATGCAGTATTAAATCATTTTAATCTCTGTTGGAGATTAGAGATATCACCTTTATAAGACACACATTTCCTCAGCTCCTTTTCCTCAGATGGTGGCACTGGCCAAATTTTATATTCAGTGGTCTGAAAATCTTCACACAGCAGAAGTCAGAGGACAATTGAGTCTGATCAAATATTCAGATATTTTTATACATCCGGACAATGCTGAATTGCTCAGCTTGAATCTGCGTAGTTACTGTTGCAAAGATGCAGTTGGAGATTTCCACATCCATCCTGGATGTGGCTGACAGCTTTGGGGTGTGTGGGGGCGTGGCTACTCTGCAGGGCGCCCTCCCTGAGATAACAGATTGAGCAATGTTGCCTTTAGGAGTATGGCACGATGACAGACAGCCAAAGTCAGTAGTAGGTACATGTGAAGGAAAAACTTGATGTGTGCCGGCAAAGCAGGTACATGTGAATTGTGCTAGGGGTCCAGAGGAGAGAGATTTGTCCTTACTACTGGACTTCATTTTTCAAAAGGGTCTGCTTCTAAGTAGCTAGCAAACTGACTTACTACAGCTCACTGCTCTAGGAGGGAGATTTTCTCAAAACACACTTTTAGGATAGAGTCAAAAACCCTTTCTCGGGCATCTTGGAGCCCAGGGCACTGGGGGAGGGGCCCAGTCCCTCCCCTTCCTCCTCATTCCCTGTCCCATGGGAGATTAGTATCTCTGCCTATAGGGCTCATCAGAACTTGAAATTCTCAAAAATTTCAAGCCCCACTCTGAGAAAAATGCTGGGATCATATAAACAAATCAGTCAGCCATATGAACTGTCCTCCAGCATTTAGAATCAGAGTAAACCTTATGAAACAAGGGCTGTGGGTCAATTGTATAGTCTTGCTTTCTGTTCACATTATTGTATGTCCAGGTCTGAGGAAGAATTCCAAATCTAAGTGGTGTTTGATCATATTTGCTGATGACATTCTGGAGCCTGCAGGGCCTGGGGAAGAAGGCCAAGGTCATACTTCTGGAGAAGTCAGAATTTGATTTTATGAGTTAAATGGTACCTGTCCCCTCCTCATATCTAGCCCCTTTTGTTGGACTAGTTCGTCAAATATTTACTGAGCACGTATCCTGTGCCTAGTTTGGTGATAGGCATGCTAACATAGCCCTACCTTGAGAAGTTTACACTCTGGTGGGGAAGACAGATATAAAACAAGTAATTGCCCCCAAACTGTATTTAATACATGGGAGACACCCCTCTACTCAGAAACAGGGACAGCTGCCACCTGCGTCTGAGGGAAGGTGGTATGTGCCCCAAAGAGCAGGGGCTTTGAGAACTATCCATCAGGAAAATATATGAATGTTTGCTCATCTTTCTCTTTCTCTGTTGGGAGAAAGAAGAACCTAAGCTCCTAGGGACTGAAGTGGTGTTTGATCACTGATTAGGGTGAGTGATCTATGGGCCTGGAAAGTTCTGTCCATTAGGACCACGAGTGCCAGGAAGAGCAGGTTAAGCCCAGGAGGTGGGCAGTGCATTTTATTTTAACTCTTTTTTTTTTTTAAGAAAAAAAATCACAGTATAATTGGCATACATTAAAATTCACCTTTTTGGGTGACCAAGTCGGTAAGTCCTGAAGAGTGCACACATTCCTGGAACTACCACCATCATCAACGTATAGAACATCCTCGTCTCACCAGAAAGGCCACCCAGGCCACCGCACTGCCCTGCCATTGGAGTTGTCTGTACAACCCACATGAGGCCTCTTTCCTGCCTGACCCTGCTAGCCCTCCCCGCTCAGATTCTCTCCACACCAAGGATCCTGTGTTTTCATGTTTGAATCATAAAGATGAGCTTTCCTAAGCTTTGACCAGACTAACCGACTCTCTTAACCTTGGCAGAAGGTTTTGGGGAAGCCTGGCTCCTGTGTCTCTCATTTGCCCCATGTTCTGGACTCAAGCAGCCACAATTCCTGGTAGTGCATCAGGAGTGTGCAAGGAACAGAAAGGCAAGATGACCAATCCCATGCCACACAATCCCGAGGGTGCGGTTTTAGAGAGCAGTAGGAAGGAAGGTGTGTGCAAAGGGAAATGATGGTGCTGCATGCTCACATCCCCCGGGGCCAGACCCCTGCCCTGCGTCCCCGTTTCTGAGGCTCCTCCATATGCCAGGTGGACAGGGCCAGGTGACAGAAGAGCCCCAGGTTCTGACCCAGGGGCCTTTGGTCCGTGTGTTAAATGGGGGTTAATGATCATATCCCTGTCTTTAAGGCAAACCAAGGTTACAAAGGACATATAAAAATACATTTGTATCACAGTCAAGACTCTGTGGGGGGCCCCGGGGTCATGTGAAAACACATCCCCTGACCTTTTTAGGCATTTCTTTATAGAATAATACAGGCCACGCCTGGCTCTTCCTTTCGTTTTTAGAACATGTGCCTGGGCTCAGCACTATCTCTTTTTGTTTTGAGAGAGTCCTTCTCCCATTTTTTTTTTTTTTTGTTTGTTTTTGTTTTTTGGTTCAGGTTCAGATAGAGGCAAACAACTGATTTCCTCTCACAAGAGAAATGAAATATTTTTTTGACATCAGATTCTAACAGAATCAAAATAATTCTCAGCTTGTTTTGAAAGTGTGATTACAAAAGACAAAAGAAGCCTGGGGACATAGTAATTCAAAGTCACACCCACTGGAGACAGGGTAGCAAATCTCCCAAGGCTTTTAGGATCCAGTGAAAAACACCAACATCCCAACCTGGGGTCTGTGATGATATAATGCCCCCCGGGGCTACAGGCTAGACAGTTTTTTGACTTTCTGTCTGAAATATTTAGTCTTTTTTTTTTTTTTTAATGGAGCATATCATGTCCGATACTATCCTGAGTATTCTCTTCCACAGATTGGACGTGGCAACTTCTCTCTGTTGTCTTCTGGAATCTTCCTTCTGGCTTCACACTCATACTGGCCCCAGCTGCTTACTCATGGGTTTCTGGGCTCCATCAGGGCCTTCCTTCAAGCCACCCAGTGAGGGAGAGGGGCTTTGCCACAGTATCCCGAATCCTCCCCTCTTCTTTCTGCCCCTTGACTCAACTCCTTCTAATTCCTTGACAAGAGGGGCCCCCACCTCCCACAGACTCTGGAGATCTTGCACACCATCACCCCTGTCATGGGGGCACACATTGTTAAATTTGTCTTGAAATGGTGAATGACACCAAAAGTGCCACTTTCAGTAATTCTTTGCCAGAAGGTGATTATGGTCTTTCTTCAAACATATTGGCTGTTCTTCCAAAGGTAGGACTTGAGAGATCCAGCAGTAACCCCAGGAGAATGGAAAGTCCTAGAAGGACACAGAGCAAGTCCTAGCTTCTCTGTTCCATTTGTCTGAACGTCCAGCGCTTGGGACAGGGCCGCAGGAAACACAGGGCTGCAGGCCTGGGTTCAATGGAAATGGTGTGTCTGCTGGGTCCTGGAGTGTATCCAGTCTGCAAAGCTCCGGAGGGAGTGTGAACCCTGGTTTGGAGGGGCAGCTCTGCTCTCTCTCCGGAGCTCAGAGTCAAAGCCTAGGAGATCACTGAGAGGTTGGCAACTCGTCCAGGGATATACTCAAGCCCCGGTTTTTTGAGTGAGGGATTTCTGGAGCCCAGGGTGGTTCTTTTCAGATCTGGGAGGTTGAAAGGGCAGCGTTTCCTGAGTAAATGGGTTGGAATCCCTGTCTAGGTAAAGGAGCTCAGGAAGCGGTATGAGTGGATGGCTTCCCTCAATTTAGGGAGCACACTGCACCCAGTCTGGTCCCCTTGTGTCCTCCATGTGACTGGCAGCCTGCCCTCTCAGGGGATGGGGCCAGGTCAGCATGAGGGAAAAGTGACAAAAACCATCCCCATCTCGACAGGGGTGGCAGGCAGTTGAACCACTGTAAATTGCATACATTTGTCAGCACTGAGCACCTAGAAGGAGTGAATTGTGCCATATTTACATATTATATATGTCAATAAAAAATAGATTAAAAAGAAATCATAGCCTCCTCAGAGTGGCTAAAGAAATCCTGACCAAACACACACACACACACACACACACACACACACACACAAACAAAACTAAAAACTAAAAACACAAACAAACAAAACCCAACAAAAACAGGCCTATTCCTGGTACCGGCCTTGTTCTCTTCTTCCTCTGGGCCAATGCCCTGCACACTTGCGGGTGGTAGGCACTCTGGTTCTTGCCTTCCCCCAGGGCCCACGGAACTTTCCTGCAGTCACACTGGGCTGGTAAGTGGGTGCCCTGATCCTGGCCTGTGTGTCCCCGAGTCTGTTCTCCCCAGGCCACCACACATCTGCTCTGTGCCAGCACTGACCTTGGGCACCCCATGACATCAGTGGATACCCACGGTGTCTGTCCATAATAGAAAGCCTTAGTTTTCATTTTAACCAAGTCAGTACTTCCATTCTGGGTAACACAGTTAATGATCTTGGATTTTATTTGTATTTTTTTAGTTCACTCTCATTTTCAAGAGTGCCCCTCCTGGTTAGACACTAGGCC